TGTTTAATTAGATATATTTAATTATTTACTTATGAAGGACTCAAAATGGATAAAAAATTTCTATAACAAAGGTGTAGATTGGTTTGTAAAACGTCTGACTAGACAGTTTCGAACTTTATATTTGTTAATTATTAGTGTTTTTCTGCAAACTACAAATGCCCACGAAATACAAAAAAAAAAACACGGGACAAACTCGCTAGCGCCAGTGCGCACGATGATTATAGTGTTCCCCAACATCCCGCTACGAATGACCATAGCATTTGTTGCCCGATTGTGCTGTCTCGACAGGGCTGCAACGATCCTGGTGGCTTTGCGATGAATAGGTTTTACTATCGGCCACAAAAGCGATAACTGCTGTCCCTGCTTATTGCTGTCATGAAAACAAAAACAAACAGAAAAAACTTCGAACCACACTTGAGCTGCGCCTTCATAATTCGAACTTGATAACACAACGGGCCCCATTCGCATTGCATCCTCGTTAGATTGCCGCAGTTCAATATGCACACAGTGCAGAGACCGTAGGGCTTCGGGAAGAGCTGTTTGTTGTGCAGGATAATGAATGCACATTTGAATAAAACGGAGGTTTTCGCGTATTAGAATGGAAGCACTAAGCTAAAATGACTTTTGATGGCTAAAAACTTTCATAACCCTCACCCCATTATGAAACAAAGCCCAAAACTGCATTTATTGTCACAGATGCTTGCGCAATTTGTTAATAAAGCAAAATTGCAAGCCAACATCACAAACCGAGAGACAGATGTCACAAATGTCCCCGGCGGGAAAGTTTTAAGTCTGAAGCGCAAATGACCACAGCTGCCTTAAGTGACAGGTCCAATCTACGGGTGACAGGCACGTTCACATGAGAAAAAAAAATCTGACATGGCAGGATCACGACTGCATACATTCCGGCGAATGTCACGACTGGTTGGACAATTTCAAGAACACAATGCCAGCATGGCGTCACACATGCCGCTATCAGTTGTTTGCCTTGAAATTTTCATGCTCTTTTTTTCACCTCCTGGACCAATGTCTCACAGCGAAAGAATTCGATAGGTATGTGTAAAGCAATTACTGATGCTTCGACCCAAAGAGTCACGCTATGTCACCTTTCCTTCTGGTCACCTATGGTGCAAACAACTTTTGTTTACGTATATGACTGGTATTGTCCACAATTTGAGAATCAGTCAGAACTTGCCGCACAAGCTTTGACTATATTCCAGAATATTTCTTGGCTCAGTGTTTTGCCCAGACAGAAGATATGGTACAACAGTGTCATGACTCGGTGATCACTGTACTTAAGACTACACCGAAGTGATATGGTAAGTTTATACTGACAAATGATTATCTAAAAACCTTTTTATGGTAAATCTATCATTCTAGCTTCATTATTAGTATACAAAATGAGAATTTAAAGTTTCAGAATTGTATACCACATGATAATTTCAGCACCTGGGTGCCTGTGAGAAATCAAAGATTGCAGTCTTTCTTTGTGTATGCTTATTTTAGACACATCATTTTAATAAAATATCCCAATACTAGCCACATTGGGCCTTCAGCTCCCATATAACACAATATATTTGTCTTTACTAATGAAAATCATGCAGGCCACATCAAATGCCATCAAAATCTACAACATCATGACGATTTGGTATGGAAATCTGAAGACAACACAGTTATTTGAATTTTTCTTTCTCTCAACTCTTTACTCATTAATCTTTCTCTTTTAGGAAGAGTTATCCAGTTCATATCACAAAAGGTCAATCTACTAATATATCACAAATAAATTTTATGCATAGCTTCCCTTTAAAATGAACAAGTATGTTATGCTTCTACAAGACCACATCACAAAAGGTCAATCTACTCATATGAATCTACTCATATATGGGGCAAAATTGGTTTGCCAAGGGACTAAATAAGACCTATCACGGGAAGCGTATCTCAGTAATAGTAATGCCACAAATCGAAAACTGTTGTTTTTTTATAGCAATTTGAACCTAATTAGCGCACTTCAGACAACATTGTCAGTCTCGATCAGCTGAATTAGTAAAACAAAAACTATTTATTGAGCACCTTTCAGTCATACTAATGAAAAATTAGGCCATCATCTTTTTTTATTAGATTCAAATGTATTAGGAAGTTTCATGCGACATCGTCCACGCAGACTTTTTAGCTAGGGAACGAAATCATGCCAACCAAAAGTAGCTATGGATGCGACTCAGCTGTAACAACAATATCAGCAGTGCCACACGAGATTACGGCATAATGGCTTTCCATACGCAGACGACCTGTTGCAGAAAAAAAAAAAAACGTCACCGCAAGACATCACTCTTCTTACGTCACAGGCAGTCACGTGTACGTCACCACAGGCGCTTGCTTTTTGTTTATTCTTCTTTTAAGAAGCGAACAGAGACTCAGAAAAGCCAAGCACTCTTGCAACCCTCTTACTCTCCGTATAGTTCGGAGGGGGTGCACCCACAATTTTTGCCCCATGCCAGCTGAAAGAATGGCCTTTTTCTTTATTTTTAGATCTGCCAAGGCTTCCAAAATGTCCCAGTTCACCAGACCGCGTCTAGCCAAGCAAGATTCCAAAGAGATGGAGGAAGAAAAAGAAGGTGAAAAAGGCAAAAATAGTTGCTAAAATGTTTTTTTTTTTTCACTAGCAATACACTTCTTTGCATTCTGTATAGTGGAAAAAAAATTGTCTTCTTCACCTAAATCACCCTTTTTTTCCATCCCATATTACTCGAAACAAGAGTTATCTTTGCTAACAAACACCCTTTTCTGCATCCCATATTACACCGAAAAAGGTTTCTCTGCAGCCCTTATTACTCCCCCCAAAAAAGGGATTTTTTCACCAATAACACCTTCCTTTAAGACCCAGTATTACTTGGGGGAAAAAAAAAAGGACAAATTTTTTACTCCCCGTGACCCTGCACTTAAAAACGCTGCAGACGAAGAAAACGTTACGACAAGCAAGCCTCGAGTCTGAACCCCCTCCTCTCCGCCTAAGGAGGTTCCGGCTCGCTCTTTTTCCAGTCAGTGGCGGCGGTGAGGAGGGTAGAGAGCTTCTTTCGCATGCTGCGGTGGCACAACCCACCGCCTGCCGGCAGGAGCCCCAGCCTGGCCCGCAATGGGACCGTCGACAGCAGCTAGCAAGAGACCGGTGGAGTTGGCTGGCAAGGCGGGCGGCCTGTAGTACTTCTACTCGCCGCAATCATCCCCCTCTCTCTCTCCGCCTTTGCCAAAAGCATCTACCCTTACCCCACTCCGTACTCTCCCGGGAGCTAAATATAAACTAAAACACAGAGCTCGAGCCGAGGGTCCGGCCAGCCGACAAAAAAAAAAAAAAAAAAGCGCAGACTTCCAGCAGCATGGTTTCGTTCCCGCTGCCTTCACCCCTCCTGGCCAAGGGTCCGCCAAAACGCCCCCTTGCAACGTTTTATCATTTATTTATTTTTGTCTCTCTCTTCCAACCGGCGACTGACCGAATGTTTCCCCCCGATTCTCTATTTCTATCTCGCCTCTTAAAAACACACCTTCGGAAAAAGCCCCCTTCTCTTCCTCTTTACCAAACGCAACTTTACTAAAATCAACCAACGACCATAGCCGAGCTAACCAAAGAAACAGTTCCCTTTCGACGGAGGTCAACCCTTCTCCGAGTGAACAAGCGTGTTTGTCGTTCAGATCTTTCACTGGAGAGACAGTCGCGAAAGCGGGCACACGAAGGGGTCGCTCTTGCAATGTGTCAACCTTTGGTGGGGCGGCTTCGTATAAGTGTGTGTGCGCGAGGGGCTGTGCAGAAACTGCGATATCGTGGCGCCTATGGGGGTTTGCCGCCGTTTACTCCTTCAAGTTCCGAAAACCTGCCGGCTTTTTTCGGGGAGAGTGTGGGGTGGCAATAAATAACAGAAACAAAACTCTTCCCGAGGAGGAGCAACTGCACCCGGCAAATCCCACTTCAGGGCGGGCTAGGCTTAACGAGCCAAACTCGGCCCTGGCCGGGTAGCGCACAAACGGACCCCCCCCCCCCCCCCCCACGTCTATTTCTTTCTTAACTTGTTATGCAGTGAATACACACGCACGCACTAAAGCACACCGCCAACAACAGAGTCCGTATTGTTGGGAGAGGGTAAAAAGAAAAAGGCGTGTCGATCTCAGTGCTGCTTTGCAGCACTTACGCCCGACTGCCTACAGATGCTGGGATCGGTCTGACAGTCGTTAGTATAGTACCTCGTTTTCGTTCAGTTCGTAAGCAAAAGTGATTAAGACATCTGCCGTGACACGAATGCTAAGAAATAGAGCTCGTAATCACGGGGTAGAGACAGAAATGACGAAAAAAAAAAACAAAACAGGGGAGTCGCCGGAAGAAGTAACTACGAAAGACGGCGTTTCTCCACCTCCGAAGGCTTTTTTTTTTTTTTCTGTTTCTCCCTCGAACGCCACCGAATTGAGATCGAAGAACGCTTGATACTGATCAAGCACAAAACGCGCAGAGCACAAAACGTACTGATACTGGGTGTCACTACGCATACCCTTCCAAACTTGTCAGTAAGGACCGAGAAAGAAAAAAAAAATGACCTTCCCCACTGCTTTTAAAGTAGATTTTCGTTCGACGGAGCCCGAACCAACAAAGATGTTCTGTTTTAACACGAGATGAACACAGTTGCGGAGCCAGGGTACGAAAGCAACAGCCAGTTTTTCCATTTAGGCAGCGACACCCCTCCAAAGTCGTTGGTAGAAGCAGTGTTTCGAGAGCTGAACAGTGTTGCAGTATTCACGTCAGAAAGCAATCGTGTTAGGGCCGAAGCTGTGGCTTTTAAGCAGGCGATTCCGCTTTAAGACACCCTGCCGTAGTTGTCGGCAGGGCCCAAGACCTCCCGTACCACATCCGAAGCCTGTGTGACCCCACGGGAGGTAGCTTTTCCGGGGCAAGTTTTTTTTCTCGTTTTGTTTTCGTAGTGTGGCGGGTGAGGTGTGTGTGTGCCGGGGTCTCGTCGTACCTGGTGCAGAGCGGTGAGCCCGTCCACGTTGGTCGTGTTGATGTCGGCACCAACGGCGAGCAGTCGCTCGACTTCGGCGGTGTCTCCGGCGGCGCAGGCGGCGAGGAAAACACATCCATCGCTGAACTTGATCCTGGGAGACTTGTCCGCAGGGGGCTCGGCACTCACGCGGTTCGTCTCGGAGTCCTCCCAGCGCTTGAGTTGCTCTTTTCGCTTGAAAAGCGAATTGCTGGGACGCGATTCCAGAGACATAACTTTCGCAGGGCCACACTGTTTTTTTGTTATCCACCGCCTCGCCTCGCAGCACAACACCGCATCACAGCCGAACACACTCCCGCACCAACCGCCAGATGACAGCACCGCCGAGCAGACGGACGGACAAACGCCGCTTATTCGAAAGGCGTAGTTGCCGCATTGTTTAGAAGTAGGTATTGTTCAATAAGACTTATAATTTCTTTATTAAAACGTTTTAAATTTATCATTGATGTATTAAAACCTCACGTGGATACTGTTCAATTAAGTAAGCCAACAACTTTACTTTTTGTTTGCCTTGTTAGTATTCAATTGTTTTTGTTGTAGGAGACTAATATGTATTTTAAAATTAATTTTTTATTGTGTTTACGTAATTTTTGTTACAAAACCTAATTACTTTATTTTTAATTAACTCGAACATAAGGTGGCGTTACTACAACACGTAATCAATTGTAAAAGTTTAAAACTGACACAACTATACATTATGCACTGAAAAATAACTTTTTATAGCTTTTAAAAGCCGAAATATTGAACTAAAAGTTCAGAGTATCATTACGAAACCACGAACTCACGACCTTACGACATTAAGTTTCACCGATTTTCCTTCAGAGGGCGACAGTAGTTCAAATCGCCATGTTTGTTACCCGAGTTGGTGTTGTGTGAGTGAACCGTGCTGTGGCCCAAAAAAGTGTACAAAAATAGACCGGACTGGTAGCGTTTGTTTAGGATAAGTTAACACGGATTGCCTCATCAGGTGACTACCTCACTTTATTGTTTTTTACCCGCCTTTGATAAGAGCCCCGTCGAAAGTTTTCCCCAGCGCTCTGAGACGGGCTACCCGACTCGCCTATTGCTTCTTAAGCACTGACGCTTGCCGTGGCGGTCCAAGTGAGCGGGGGTTGAGTGCTTGTCAAGAGAAGTGGCCCGTCATTTCTGGCTTTTAACGGGCCAAACCTGGGATCGGGAAACACGTGTGTGTTCGTACAGTGGCGTGGCCGCACGTGCTAAGGCTCGCGTTTAGAAAAAACACGGCTCCCCCCGTAAGTTCATTTCGAACTGTTCCGCGTAGCCGACTTTCCAATAAACAGGTCGGCAGCTACGTTTTCGGGTGCGCTCTTCCTCGGGGAACGGGCGCCGTATGTTCCACGCCAGTGTTGAACGAGACGAAAACACTTTTCGTTACGTGCTTCAAAAGTTCTCAAACGCGCGTAGTGTTTTTTTTTGTCCCACGACTACGTGAGATGCGGTTTGCTGCTTGTGCTGCAGAGGGGGGGTTTGGTTAAGCACCCTGCGCCTTGTGACCTCGGCGTTGTTTGTTGCCCCCCACCAGGCTGGCCGCATCGGAAGGAGTAGCTAACACCTGGCCGACATTCGCGGAACTTGACCGCGAGCTCCTTCCGTAAGTTGCTCGCACCTCCCCGTACGAGACGGATGGATGGCTTACCAGCTGAAGTTCACTTACGCCGCTCTTTTAACCCGGCGACTGTGGAAAAAAAAAAATATACATCTTCCCGATACCGTGATTTGAAACACCTACGTAAACTCTGAAAAACCTGCTCGACTGAGGTTTTGTTCGCTTCAAAAATGCCCATCGCAAGATGGTAGCCGTCCTATTGTTTTGACGGAGCCTAGTGGGTCCTTTTGTGAAGACCTGTTTCTTCGAGCAGTGTCCGATCACGCGTTGCCACTGAAGTTTCTGAAAATTTCATCTTTAAACTGCCCTTTAAACTGTCGCAACTGCTGGCTTTTGCGACAGTAGCCTAGTGTTTTCGCTAGCGTGCCTTAGGACCCCACAGTATTTGTCTGCGAAATCATTCCGACATGTCGGTGCCTGCCTAGGTTTTAACCGGCTGTCGGGCTTGGCGATTGGTTTCTAAACTTTTCGAGAAACCGGTTAGTGGCCAGCTTGTAATTGGTTTTCCTCGTTGGCCTGTCAATCGGCACGAAACGCACCTTGCACGCGTTTAAGTTCATTGTACTCCCGAACTGGAGGTGTTTTGTGTGCTCAGACGTCGCAGCGCAATCGTTTTTAGCGTAAATTCGCGGGAATGTTTCGAAAACTGCGAAACTACCGCAACCTGCGAACCGCCAATGATTCTAAAGACCTGGTATGTAGCAACGACGCGGCATGTTCCTGCGTGATCGAAAGTTGGGATAACGCGAAATACCGGTTCATACGAGCGAATCTCGAAACTTGGGCTTGTCTACTGGACTAAGTTTGTCCTGGCACTCTGTGACAGCTGCAACTCTTAGTAAAGATTTAGATTTCCTCAAGCACCTTAGCTATCAAAAGCAGGGAATTGTTTTTTTTTTTAATGCAGCTGTAATAACTAGACATTCCTGATCGGCATTTTTGACCACGTTGTGTACAGATTGCCTGGTATTCGAAGGGGTGCTCTGACCAAAACTGCTTTTTTTTTTTTTTTTTGCAATTGAAATGATCGAAAGGCTCGCCTATTTCTTCAGACATGACCACGTAACAAACAGATGAGAGCCAAAGAAAGCATAGGTGGTGCCGATTCTAGTTCTTAATGAAATGGGCTCATGATTATTGTGATAAGAAAACAAAAGGGGACAATAAAGCAACCTCAGGAATACGAACCCACAACCTCTGCGTTAAACATGCAGTGTGCTCTAAACTGTGCCGCAGCAGTGGCCTTACTTGTGTCAACTTTCTGCGCTCTATATGCGTGTGATGTCGGGTTGCAAGTCAGATCATATCACTTGATAGATTGCACGTGGTGCTCTGGACGGAGTTTTTTTGTGTATTGGCACAACATAGCTTTTAAATAAAGGTGACTTTGTCAGTAGAGTGGAAACGAACAAAGGTTTAATGACTCCGATAAAAAAGGCGTCCCTTCATTTCGGCATGCCTTTAGCCCATCATGCACCACACGAAGATTCGATGAGGAAAATTAGCCTGGTTTGGTTAGTTGTCTTGCCTGGTTTCGTTGGGGCGTGTGCAGAGCTGGCTGAGTCGTTCATTTGCTTTTGATGTGCTCCGTCTTCTTCAGGGGCCAAGTCCTTTCGTTGGGTCGCTTGGGTCAGAGAGTCTTGAATTTCTCGGCATCGTAAAATGATGAATAAACACGACTTTGCCAGTAGAGTAGAGGTTTAATGAAAGCAAAGGTTTAATAACTCGGGGAAAAGCATGTCCTAGTCAGGCAAAATGTTCTTTTGCTGCTTGCCATGTGCAAGCTCTCCCTCTTGTGATCTCTACTTTCTTCAAACACACATGCACCAATAGGTACTGTGGCGACATCAACGGCATGCATTTGCTGGTGCAGTTAGTTTTTGTAATGGTAGAGGTCCGTGTAGTGTGCAGTATCCATGCACATTAAAGATTATCAGATGGTCAAAACTTCTGGAGGCCTTCACTTCAGCGTCTCTCATAATCATATTGTGGTTTTGGGATGTAAGAAGTGGTTTTCAGGCATAGAACTCTAGGTATTGTTATTAGTTAGTTTTCTTCACTGTGATCAAAGTGTAGCGAAAAAATTGTTGGCCTCTGTGCTTGAACAACCGTGGAACCTACATGGAATGTACTTACAAAACCCCCGTTAGCCAGAAACCTAGCTTCCCATTGTGCTGATACTTAAGCGTGACGGCTTCGTTCATGTCATGTGAGTTATCAACATAAATCAGTCACAATAGAAGCTGTCATGTGCAGCTGCAGTGAATATGATAGGGTGTGCCAGTGTGGGCACTTACCATTCTGCTTGCTTTTGAACTCAATCCAAATACATCTTGCCTTACACTTGAGTAACTAATAGGAAAATGTCCTGTTAGTGTGTTTATGTGATAGCGTTAAGGAGTCGATGTCGCAGAAAACCTGGTGTCATGGATGTTGTCTTTAAGGGAAAACTCCCAATGGATGCAAATGATAAATGTCATGGTTTAGGCTGGAACCAAACCCTTGGCATTGTGCATGGCAGTCAAGTGTTTTATCACAGAGTGGTGCTATTGCATGAAAATGCTTCAAAAGACAACAATATGCAGGAATTACCTTGCATAGAGTCATGTTAGCAAATGTAGCATTGCACGGCAGAAGCGTTGAATAGCACATTGCATCATGTAATTTAGAATGCATAACAAGTGGGTGGAGCAAGCTGCCCATCAATCACAAAGGGCTCAGTAAATCATCATGAGCCATAGCATCACCAACAGTGTGCAGCTAATTAAAAAAGTGATAAAATGTGGCATAGTAGACACTTTGCTTATTTACAAAATAATTTTGATGTAGTGGGTATTTCCCTAATACACGAAATTAATTATGAAGTAGTGGACATTTCTCTTTGTCTGTGCTTGCAGTGGACGCCTTGGTTTGCAACGGCCAGTGTCTCACACACACATGCATTTTTTTTCTCACAGCATGGACAAAACAGCGAACAGGCCTGATAGCACTGTCGCATTCCACTCTTGAAGGGACTCTAAAGAGCGAAACAATTTTTCGCGTTTTGGTAAAGTACGATTTCACAATCTCGAGAAAATGCGCCAAAAGAAAAAGTGAGTGCAGATGCCACCTAGAGATTCCCGCACCAAACACCATGACATCACACATTTTGAAGGTGGCTACCGAGTCCTGTGTAGAGTTCAATGGATGAAAATGAAGTGCATTGTGATCAATGGGTCCCATAGACCTAGCATATGAAATTTTAGAAAATTTTGTCGAGACAATGTCACGAAAATACCAAAAATACATTTTGAAGATTTTGACGTCACGAGTGGAGATTTCGGCACGAAATTTAAATGTGACACTTCAACCTTGATTTTTTCCAGTAGCAAAGAAACATGCAACAATAGAGTTCTCGAATTACAGTTTGTCAACACAAACCAATTCGTTGTTTCTCTTTAGTGTCCCGTTGAGAAAGCTTGAAGTTTTAAGAGAAGCTTTTATAAGTTACAGATCTCAGTGGTAGTGTTATTGTTCGCAAAAAACCCAGTGTAGTCCCCGGGAACATAGGGATGTGGGCCTCTAAAGAGGACTGGTCGCATGCGTGTTTGTGTGTACCATTTCTCAACAACTGATGCTCTCTTGGTAGTGGGCATAATGACGATCAGCAGTTTCTAATATGGCAATTTGAGCTAATCATTTTATCATGCCACATTTCATAGCTGGCGTTTATTGTTTCACACATGAACGTTGTTGCCTGTAGCAAATGAGGTGTTGCACTTCTAAACACATAGATCAAGCTCCTTTTGCCGGCATTGAAGAAGCAGTGTGTTTGAAGAAAAACTAAAAAATAGTAGAAGTAGCAATAAAATTACTGCCATACTTAACTTGCCCTCATATTTGTAATAGCGAAAGAGCTCCTTTATTTATTTTTTCTCTGTGTGTGCATACTATTACATAAAGGTAATGCATTTAAAGTGATGTGTTCAAAATGTGTTGTATATATCTCAAACTACTTTTGATTGGACCTGTGCTGCTAGCTTGAATAATGTGCATGATGTTTCAAAAACTATACGGGTTTTACAAAGTAGGCCGATAGGCATATGATCTCAATTTTAGTGCACTATCATAGCGCTTGTCGAATGCTTTCATGGTATTCTGCAGTGTTTAATGTTAGCTGCATAGCTTCGGAAGTGTTGTCACGGGCTTTTAAAAAGGAATGCTGGATGTGAAATAGTTGGAACGTTTTCATATATAGAGTTTCTGTAGAGAGACCTCTTGCATTGACCCTAAGCCCTGCAAACTTGACAAAAATCTCACTCAATAATAAAGAATTTGTGTTTTACGCATACACGAAGCCATAACAGCCGGGGTGTAAGTTGAGGAAGTTCTTACCTCCCCCTCACTTTTTAAAACTTTCATGCTTTAACTTTTCGGGTGATACTAAAATATTCACACACCTTCACAAGAACCACCAGTTACCAAACCTCACAATTCTACTTGCAACCGTCACCCCCTCGAAAAAGTTCGTGTGTGTGTGTGTGTTTGTGCAAATGTTTCGTTCTTCACCAAGTTTTTGTCACAAGTGCACAGCGTAAAATCCTGAGCAAGTGCCCCCCCCCCCCCCCCTCCATGGTAGAGAAAAATCTGCCAATGATTGGAGGGCAACCCTTGCTCAGTCAGATCAAAATTCATAGTGGCAGGAGAAGGGCTGCTAGGAATAATAAACATACACCCGGGACTTTTATTTAAATGCTTCTTTGAATATATAGATGCATTCATTGTTTTCATTCGTCATCCTTGAGCCTAAAATAAAAGGGTGAGTGAAACAGTAAGAATGATTGGAATAGAGGGGAGTTTGGGGGAGCACCCTCATATTTCAAATCTCCCTAAATATGAAGAGGGCGCTTGCGTGGGATTTTATGGTATATATTGTGACAGTGCTCTCCATCTCGTGAACCGACAGCAGCGACAACAACAGAAGCGTGAAGGGAACAATGTGCAGTACTGGCACGCACTTGGGGACGTCTGCCTCCTGTAAATAAAGCGCTGTTGAACCTCGTCCACAAGTCCTGCAACAGAGTGGTGGAGGCGCTGGGTACCCCGAGTTCTTTGCAACAAAATTTTCATCCCTTGGCCTTCGTCATAGTCGTCGCCTTGTGGGACTACCACCAATCTCAACAGGAGAGATGCATCGAGAATTCCAAGTTCCGAGGACGGTGGCTTATTCGCATCTTTACAAGAAGCCTGTACTCTGATAACCTGACTCAGTTGTCCAAGATGGCAGTGATACCCTCTGCAACTGCAGGCGGAGTGTCGCAGTTTATGCTGCATTACATAATACTTCGTCATGGTATCCCTCGTGCAGTAATTAGCAACTGTGGCTGTCACTTCACAGCTGATGTGTTTGAAGAAGTTCTGCATCTGTATGCCTCCAATCTGCAACATTCACTGAGCGACTGCCTAGCTGATTTCTCGCCCAGAGGGCTTCAGCTGCGAGGGGAGCAGTTATAGTGGGTTCAATCTAGTGAACCAACAGCAGCGACAACAACGATCGAAGGGAGAAGAGAACAACAACACGCAGTACCGGCACGCAGTTGATGTCCATCCGCTGTGTATAAACATCTGTTCAACCTTGTTTACAAGTCCCATAACAATAGATATCCATTCTCAGTCTGAAGCATAAAACAGTTGTTAGCTGTGTGTGTCGTCCGTCATTTCCTTCAGTACCATTTTTCACGCTGTTCCCTTAAAGAAAATTCAAACTTGGGCTGATGGAGATTGCGTAGGACAGTTTGGAGCACATTGTCTTCTCATACAGTTGGGCTGATGTAAGTGGACATTTTGCATTTATAAAATTATCTGAAACGCTCAAAAATGATAAACATGTTTGTTATATTTGCCTCATTGTGCCGTGGTCACTTGGCAGCTATGGTGTCGTGCTGCTACACACAAGGACATGGGTTCGATTCCCGACTGCAGTGACCGCATTTTTATTGGGACGAAGTGTAGGAACACTTGTGCGCTTAGAGTCAAGGGAGCGTTAAAGAATACCAGGGGATAACAACCAATACTAAGAGACGCTACAATGTACTTCGTAATCATCGTGGTTTTTGGCACTAGAAACTCGGGTATACAATTTTTTGTATATTTGTGTATTAGTTGAAGAACTGAAGGTAACTTGGAACTACACTTTTTTTATAGTAAAAAAAAAAGGCTGCGATCATGCAGCTGTATTAAACAGGTCGTAGGGAAAATATCTGGGATTTAAAAAGAATGTTTTTTTTTTAGCAGATCTGGCTGGTATTAGTACCCCAGTAATTTGGTACACTGGTGAATTTTAATTGGTGTCAGTACAGTACCAGATCTCATTGGCATTGGCTCACTGCTGGTTTAAACTTCTCATCCCTGCATTTTAAGCTTGTCAAACAAACATGGAATGGTACTATTATACCAACATTAGTGTTTACATAAGTAGCCTCAAGAGGCTTCACAGCGTATCGCAACAAGATTATACTTGAGTAAAGGGATTATTGATCTGGGGGCCCATTTACATTTGACACAAATGCATCAAGGCATTGCAAAATGACCCCTTGCTTCATGCGATGTTGCATAAAACGGTTTTGGCATTTTGAAGATCTTTTAATGTCGTCATGCTATCATGAGGTTGGAAGAGCAGAAGAAAAAAGTGCATTTTTTTTTTTTTTGAAGCTGCTTGGTGTTTGCACGCCAACGCTTCAGCCAATCACTTGTGAATAAATGCATCTCATTGTAATTGCAGTGTTAAAATTTTTAGCTGAGGCTTTAAAAAAGAGGTTGAAGTTGTGTAGTGCAGTGTACTAGGGAATCGGCTGCAGCTGCAAAGTTCAGCCCCTAATGAACTTAACGATGAAATCTGTGCATGTTTGATTAATAGGTTTACATGGATTATTATTCTGTATCATTTTTTCAGTTTTTCCAGAATGTAAGTTAGTTTCAAAGTAGCTATGCTTATCTGCTAAATGACTCAATATTCATTTGATATTTGCAGTAATCTTAAAATACTGGCTGTTGCAGGGGATACTTCCAACATGCGCATATTTTGTTTACTTTTGTTTAAAGTACTGACCACCGAACACTAGCGGCAGCTGTGTTCGGTGGTCAGTACTTTAAGCTGTATCATTGAAGCAATTGCTAGCCGCACCACCAAACATACAAAATGACTGACCAGAACCATTTGTCACTGCGAGCAATTACTTTTTCACTCAGCACACACTGACTTCATTCACTTTGGGGACTCCTACACTGTTTGTATAATTTCACCATATACCATGCTTATACATAATAAACTTGGAAATGATTGTGAAAAAAAATCCGAGTGAACCCATAATTGGAAGTGCCAAGTGAATAAGGAATCCTTGTGATTGCGTTTACTCCAATGATTTTCTTAAAGCCTTAGGAAGTTTCGAGAAATGTTTTTTTTTTTACTCATCATAAAAAGCATGTCGTTTTGTAACTTCAGTTCTGTGTCATCTTTGTTGCAGCTTTTTTCTTCATAAACTCATTCAATCACTCTTGATTCTGCATGCAGGCTTCTAATGAATTGTCACGTTCTAATCGTCCATTCCTCTGTTGTCTGAACTATTCATAATTAATATGAATGGGCGTCGTTTCGTTTTCCTGCAGATTATGACATCGTCGCCATCACAACCATTTGGATATGGCCAACCTACTGGAAGCTCGCTCAGTGAGTTGTCTCTCCAAAGTCACTCCCCAAATGTTCAGAGTGTTCCTTAAATTGAGCTGAAGCAGATTTGTTCATTGTCATGTTCTTGTGGAACTTCTATTGAAGTGTTTGCTGACATTTTTCCTGAGGACCAAATGTGCTTTGTGAGACAGGCACCTCAAATATTGAAGCAAAGCTCGTATGATTTGAATATAATGAACAGTGGCTGAGCATTTTCATGTTTTGTTTGTTTACTACATTCGTTATTGTGTACAGTAGCGTAACTTTCTGGGCGAGTTGCTTCGTAGTAGTAGGACGATTAAACCAGTCAAAAACCGCACAGGACAAGCGCTGGACTTAAAACTGAATGTTTATTGAAGAACTGCACACACCCCAACTAATGAATCAGCAGCGCATGCGTAAAAAGGCCATCTGAGCCATGTCAAACCTACGCACCTTACCGTACAGAGCATAAAATGTGTGAAACAACGTTCAAATAAACGCGAAACATCAGCTGTCTAGAAACGCGAACTCTTTCTCTGTGAGAAAAACTGAAGGTTCACTCACGAATGACATTTTGCCCTGCTTTGTTTTATGTGGTATTTGAAGCCATGAACTTTATAAAAGGTGTCAGAATAATGGTTATAAAAGGTGCACTTGTTTGGGACTTCTAGGTCAAGGGTTTTAAGGCATGTCACTACCCTTTGAAATGACGTTAGCTTTTTAAATTTTTTTATGTATGTATATATATATATATATAAAGTTCCAGATTTGTTTGCGTCTTGTTTGCGAAAACATTGGCACTCGTTGTGGGCTAGTGGCTGTGACTGGTTGTCACCGGAACATCCTTGTTCAACATTTTAGTCAAGGCAAAAATGCATTTGACGCGATCATGCGTGATTGTATACATATGAGCGTTCGTGCTGTGTGCAGAAAAAAAAGTGCATGATGTTTTGGGCTGAACGATATAACTACCCATCAGGTATTAGTATGTTTTAGCATCGCAAAAGCTGCATATGCTCTTCGCCATGACGAATACCAACCCAATAAAGGTATAGCTTGTTGTATCGGAGGCCTCATACGTCTTAATGGAAACAGTGGAGATTGTTTCTCATAAATGTGGCACTTTTGTAGTTTGATCTTTGAAGTCACAATGCTCATTGCAAGTTTGTGTTTCAGGTTTAAAGAGGCCAAGTAAGTATGCAAACACGTTTTAGGCATCAGATGCAGTGCGGTAGCTGCACAAGAGATTATGTATATAAACAAGTTATCAGATTTTAAATCGCATAAATTTTCAGTGGGTTACGAGGAACATTGTAGGGGAGAACTCCGCTTTAATATTCACGGGAATTTGTACAGCTCAGCCTAACGCATCGTAAAATGTGTTCCCTTTTTTTGTCATCTCTGACCAGAATTTGGTGTAGTGAGTTGGAATCTTATCCGGCACCTCGCGTACACAAGCTCGAAACCATGCTGCTGCCAAGGCTGTACCTCGTTTAAAACCGCACATGTCGCTATGAAAATTGAGCATGTTCATATCGATGCCATTCAAGTATTTTTCAGTACCAGTCATTGTAACCATGCAGAACGTTCGCTTTCGGAGATTTTTTATGACTGCCATCTACAACGAGCAAAGCATTACATGCTAACCTAACAGGGTCACGCATTATAGGCAGTGGCCCTCCCTTTAAAACCTGTTACTTTGAAAAATAGCCATTCGCAGAAAATTTTGTCGAAGGCATGCCAACACACGCAGCGCTGCTATGCAGAATGGCCCCACTGGCGGAAATTTCTTGCTAACCAGCACCTGCTCCATGGGAGGGGATAGAGTGCACAAGTGCATGCTGCGATGTGCTGTTTGCAAACAGGAAGAGGTTATTTTGGTGCAGAAAAAAAAATTGTTTATATCTGTTTCTGTTGAAAAGCTATAGTCTTTTTTTTTTTTGTTACTGCCATTGAACTGAAATTGACGTGTTTGTAGCCTCGTGCTATATAGTTTATGCACAACAGTCCGGATATGTGCCAAGCAGATCCTAGTATGCTTGCAGTAGTATATCAATGGTAAAGGGAGAAGGGTGAGGAGTGATAAGAGCATGAGTAGGAAGGAAAGGAGGAGGAGAGAGGCTAAAGCATGCACAGCCTTGTGTAGTATAGTTTATGCACCACAGACGTTGAATGTGCACCAAGCAGCTCCTAGCATATGGTTATTATCATCAAAAACCTGACTATGCATGCAGCAGGGACAGTGCCACTGCCTTGTTTCACCAGTTAGCCTCATCCAGTGCTTGCAGCTGCAGCATTGTTCCTGCAAACTTACCAATCTCATCGCATAGCATAGCATAACCATCTATAAATTAGTCTGGCAAAGGGTAAGAAAAGGAAGTGAGTGTGAGGAGAAAGGATGCAAGGGCAAGGAAGAGGAAAAGGAGGTGTGAGATGATAAATATAGCACAGTTTACTTTTTTTTTCCTCTCAAAAGGATATGATGATATCTAATGTGCTGTGCCTTGTGTACTTTCATGGTAATCTTATCGCAAAAGTCCACTTGTCTTAGCATGGACACTTTTTGAGTGGTGTATCTTTTATGTTTCTGTCTCGGGATCTGTTTTTAGAATTCTTGAACCCCATGAGAACTTTCTTCTCTGGAATTTATCTATCATATCAGTGAATGAGTAGCACCAACAAAAGTCAAGGGTGTTTGAAGATTAGATGGAGACATAAGTTTTTCAAGTATGAGTGTAGTGCCATGTCATTGGCAGCAGCAAACTACCGTCTTTGTTGTATGTAAAAGGTGTCGTTCATTTACTTCACTATGCTTAACCATGAAGCTCAAAGTTTTAGGTTAGTAAACAAAGTTGACAGTAAGCCTATACCATCTGCTGTGGCCAGTTTATAAAGCACAGTTTAAAGGCTGAGAAATTGTTTGTTGTCATATGAAGTGTGGTGAACACGGTCAAGGTTTTTTTTCTTTTCTCCTCTATGTTAATGGCGTCACTGTGCATATGTGTTATCAATGAGTGCATGCATTTTATATGCCCTTTCCTTTTAGAGGTCTTATTATTAGTGTTTGTGTAATTCTATTCACTTGCTGTTTATGAATGTTGCTTTTGCTTGATGGCCTACTTTCGCTGCCTTCTCTTTCACTGAGTTGCTTCCACTACTTACTTGGTGCACGATAAATGCTGCCACACTCTCTGTGTACTTAAAGCGTCTCGCATTTGTCCCACCTGGTGGAATCTTGCTCGTGCAATGCATTGGTTGCACAGGAGTGGGAATTCCAATGTGCTGGGGAATCATTGTCAGGCGGCAGAAAACTTGTTATGGGTGCATGCCCGCAGTGCTGAGATAAACTTTCAAGGGGCCCTACCTTTTGGGGATATGCAGCAACACAGTTGGAACCAATGCCGAGATTTTACACTTCCAGAAAACTGCAGTCATGTAACAGTGCGACTTTATGCACAGGACCATTTGTAGTTGACTCCGTGCCTGCTGTGTGGCAGCACCTACTGCCTCTTCTCCCCCTGTCTATAGACTCTCACGAAGGTTGTTCTCTCGATGACACTCTCCTGTCCACCCAAAATTCTGGGGCGACTTGGGGACGGTTTACTGTGGTTGCATGAAGATCTTCCATCGGTGTGGTGTCTCCTTGGTTACAGCTCCTTCTGTATTTCCGTGCATACTTTCTGCAAACTCTCGCACTGCTCGCTGCTGCGTTTTCTTGTCTGTGCTCTTTTTGACTGCCATTTGCTGTGTGGAGTGTTTTTCAAAAGGTTTAACTCTTTTGCTAACTCTCCATTACTTCCCACCAACCCTCTTATCTATCGTCGCCTGGTTTTGGCAGTTCAAGATGCATGCTGCTCTCCTGAACCTGTGGCGAGTTGGGGCAATGTTCCAGTAGTCACCATAGATGGCTAAATGGGTAGCCGAGTAGACAGCAGCCACTCTATGCACTGTCTCAACCCCTCCCCCCCCCTCTTCCCCCGATTCGGTGCAGTCCCTTTTTTCCCGTCGGTCTCCCAGCAGCAGCAGCCGGGAGTGCTGCCTGGCGGTGGGGGTTCCCGGGGGGCACCCTTTCCCGACATGTTCGGTGCCGACAAGGCGACCAGCTCGTCATCATTTGGGGACCTGGGCCTGCGAGGCACTCTCGGGGGCACACTCTCTCAGTTCCCTCCGTCGGTGGCGAGGCCTCCGCCAACAAGTCTGTCTGGTTTCCCACCAGCATCTCTGCCGCCGCCACAGCAGGCATCACCAAACAGGTTCGTGTGCACGGGGCTGGTGGTGTAGAAAATACTCGTGTGCCTGGACTTGACTGTCGGTTTTTGCCCGTGGTTGCATTTCGTTTTTGTTCAAAGGTGTATATGTGCCAAGTGTTTCTCTAAATGAGTGGGAAGATGGAGGCTTGAAGTAGTGAGTTGTCAAGCAAGGAATGCTTGATCGGCTGGTCTCTCAGCTGCTCAAAAAACACCAGACGCAGCTTACACTGCAGTTCGACAAAAAAGGGGTCATTTTCTATCATTTTTTTTTTTTTTTTACAAAAGTGAGCCTGCCAGCAGAATCCGACGAATAGCTTATGTAACACAACAAATAATATGCACACAACGTACCGCGAATACAGCATGCAACGCCGATGTTTAGCTTACTACGGGAGTGCATGTGCACACGCCGTGCAATCCATCACAACAGGCCTCTCCACGAGAGATGATCCCAAACGAGCAGCGCCCTGCCCCAGAGAGCATCTGCGTTGTTCATCATGGGCCTGTGCAACCTCACCACGAGTGCAGCGCCACCGGGATAACACAGCGCCATCCCCCACATAGCGACTACTGTAAACATGCCGACATTAGTGGCCCTTGGTGAAGTCGGTTCGAAGAAAGCACAGTTGGAAGCAGAAATACACGGGGTACAGGCACTCCCACACAGTGAAGCCAACATTTGGACAAGACATTCCTTGATTGATAACCTTTGATTGCTAGTGTTCTAGGGGGTTACAGTGTGTTTAGGAAGCAGTTGTATTGGGTCATTATCAGAGCTATCAGCCGTACATGACTCAGCAGCTGGGTAGTTTTGGTCTTTTGGTCAACTGGGCATGGAAGACAATGCTGACAAGAATGGCGTCGCGCAGTATGGGAACTCTTTGCTCTGATTCCAATTATTTGGGATTTGTATGCAGGGTCATTTGCATTTGTATCATGTTGTCACTCCGCTGTTTGCTGTCTCTTGCAGCCGAAATATGCTGACAATCGGGTCGAGAGCGTTGCCCGGACAGCGGCAAGTTGGCCCCGACATCAATCGGTTAGTTGGATTGGGAGCACCCCCCAGGACAGGGTAAGTTCTTGACGGAAAGCTGCTGCTTTTTCTGGCCTGAGGATTTGCCGTTCGCTTTATTGCTCGCTTTTGTCTTACCTGGTATGTCGCTGCTTTCTCTTCCCACAGGTACACGGACCAGAGTTCACTATGGAGGTGAGACTGTAATTATAATAATGATATTAATTACATATGTTTATGCCCACCATGATTTAATGACAATTGTCTTTCATTGACAAGCACAAACAACTGGTTTGATTCCTGGCCACAGCAGCTGCATATCAGTGATGTCGAAGCGAGAAAAAGATTTAGCTGCACACTAAGGTGTGTTAGCGTGGTCAAGATAATTAGGCACTGCTAATTATGGTATGCTGAACAATTGTACTGTGGTTGTGGCATGTAATACCCTAGATCTTAACTAGACTACATATGGTTGCATCAGTTTCTCACCAAATATAATGTGTAACGAACGTCTACTGATAATGTCTAGGATAAAACGTGTGTTTCCACGTTAGGTGTGAAAACAGAAAAATAACACTATTGCTGAGTGATCATTATTCCTTGCTGTATGTTTTTATCCACATACCACTTTGTTTGCACTGCCAAGATCATGTGATGCAGACTGGTGGGGTCTGTAACGTTGCTCATCTAATATTAAATGTTCTACATGATAACAGGAGTTCATCTGTAAGTTGACGCTGCATTCAGCGGTGTTGCATTTCTGAGCGACTGCAGTGCAGTCCATTTGGTAGTGTAGAGGAGCAATGTGGTCGGCAAGGCTAACCATGTGTTCTTTCCATGCAACAGGAACAATGTCCCAGCATCGGGGGGTGGCATATCAAGCTTTGGCATGTCGCACAGTTCTCGTAACTTCCCTTCATCACAGTCACTCATGGGGAACAGTCTTCAGAGCCAGCTGTTCAACTCTAACCCAGGTATTTGTCACCGGTTTATTGGTGGAGTAATGGGTTCAGTTGATGGCGTTTCAAGAGTAGGTACGCTCATGAAACAAACGGAGACAGCAGACGCGATCGGGCAACACAGACAAGCAAATGCAGATTTATTCACTTGCTTTTACATCTATAATATCTCCAGCCTGGTCAAATACGCCCCTAGTGAAACGCCAAAAACCTTATCAAATATTCCATTGCAAAACGCAAACATAACGGCAAACACAAGGTACCGCGAATGCGGCATCGCCAATGTTCGAGTCATGACAAGGGATTTACAGAAGACGACTGTCGGTGTCATGGATTGTGAACCCCCGCAAGAGACGTCCATCCACGATCGCTGCCAAGTGTCCAACAGAGACCTTCTCCTTTGTGCACCGGCCTAGCCTCTCTCCCGGACCGCGGTTACCCATACCCGCACGAGCCCAGTGCCATTTTCCGCTCGGTGGCTGTAGAACCTAAATGCGGCCTATCCTCGAGGCATGTGTGCACTACGAGGTACAAACGATTTTACAGGGGGTGATAGCACTTCCTCAAATTCTGATCTATTGCTTGGAGCTGATTGGTACGGTCATTCGCTAGCTCATTCCTAGTCAGCCTCATTATGGTGTCCATCACTGAATTGGCTGGTCGATGGGTAATTGATTTATTCATAGATTGATTGAGTGGCTGATATGCCTCAGTTCTAAATCAGCCGTGTGCACTGGTTATTTACTTATTGTTCACTCTATAATTAGCTAATTCATGGCCAGCTGTTTAGTAATGTATCCATGACAGAACTGTAACTGATAGTGATTGATTGATTGATTGGCTTATATACACGGCTCATAATTGAGCAGTCGATTGATTAATACATGCATTCATTGACCTGCTGACTCTAGGGCATGTGAATGCTATTGAGAGATTGATTAAAATGCTATTATCAAGGTTGCCATCACTGATTCCAAGATACAGAAGCCTTGCTGATCGGCCAGTGAAGTGCCTGACTGACTTCTGTCGTATAAGATCTGAAACGCAACTCCCTAGTCAAGCAGTTGTTTTATACAGGAAGGTTCTAAATAGACCAATAAATATACACCTATGCAGTAGTTAATGTAGTAATTGTTAATTTTGGGAATGGGCAAATCTTTCAGTTTCTAAAAGGAATGCTAAAATAAAGTACAGTCTTACTGGCAAGGCATGCTTTGTTTTACATTGCTGTTTTTAACTGGAACTTTCCTCGACAAAGGAGGTCTATTTTGTTGCGAAGCTGTACGGAAGGTAGACTGTGCATTTGGCAAATGGCATGCTGCAAATGGACCAGACCATGCTTCTTTTTTTTTTTTTTTAACAGCGTTGGACCTCTCCGAGTTTCCGTCACTGACGAACCGGGGTTCCCAAGAAGGGTCAGCGCAGTCCTTGAACAGCAATCCCATGGCAGGGAGGGCGGCATACGGCAAACTCTGTAAGTTCTGGTCAATTGGTATATCATGCCTTGAGCAGCGTTGTTACTTTGGTTTTGATGTTGAAAGTTTACTAGGTATAGGGAGGTGAACTGCTGCGGTGTAAAATACTGATTGTTCAGTGTCACACATCGCAGCCGAGATTCGATCCCACGACCATTTGTGCAATTAGATTAATGTCCACATTGCAGAACCCAAGGTTGTAGAAACTCAAAGTCCCTCTACGTGGTCTGCCTCATTATTGTATGATTTTGGCATGTAGTGTACCTTAATGCAATCTTTTAATTAAATTTTTACTGATCGTCTTCAGTTAGTGAACCAGTGAATAAGTGCTTCTTTTACCTCACTCGCATTATATTAAAGGGCCCCCTCACCAGTCTCTGAAAATACGAAAAACGGGTGCATTATCCTTGCATAACGTTTCTCGTCTTTCTAGCGATTCCTGTAACGTCTATAGATTACATGCTTTCGATGGTCCATATACACTTACTGTAAAACGTGAATTGTCTCCTCGGCCTATTTGCCGTGCAGCTACCTGTCGGTTTTTCCTTGTATTGTACGACTATCGTGCGCGACCAACTGATTTAGTTTCATTTTGTGCGTTTTCGATTCTGCGAGTGGAGCCAGCAACGCGTAGTCAACAAGTGAAAAATCTTAATAGGCTCAATGCTTAGTGCTTACGCTGTACACGCGCCTTTAAGAAATAAATGGCAAGAAGGAGGTATCTCCTGTAGGAAGGGTAGCGAAGGCAAGGAGAAAACCATTTCTTTGTTTTTGAATGCAGGTTGGTGTAGGGCCCTCAAAGATGTTGTTTTAGTTCAAAGAATACTGACATATAATGTTCTTCTGCTAATTTCCTGTGCTAAGCTGAGGTTTAGAACCTAGGTGACTTTGGTAAACAACTGTTGAGCATCGTCAACAATTTAAACTTAGGGACGCTTCTGTGGCTAATTTTAGTTTTACGTGTTTTGGCACATTAGTGTACTGCGTTGGTACATCACAACTGGTCTTGTTAGAGCAGTCCATAGAGGCGTTTTGGTGCTTTCACAGGCTAATCGTCTTTTGGGCTGTGATGCCATAGCACAGTACAATCTCAAGAAATTACGCTGAAGCTAGATGTAGAAAAGCCTTTGTGCTAAATTATTTAGGGCACTCGAGAATTCTACAGTACTTTTTCTCTAAGTTTGAGGTGTCGGGCATAAATTAAGTATGCAAAAATGCTGTACCGGCACTCCCTTAAAAAAATGTATCTTCTTGTACACTAGAGTACTAGAGCATAGCAAAAATCGACAAAAGACTCAAGAAGCTGCTTTTCTGTTGTTTTTTCTTGGTATTAATTTCATTAAGTTGCTTTATCTGTAAATTTATATATCATTTGATAACAGGGACCACTTTATATCATACCATACTACATGCTTTTATCTGTGGGTGCTTTTGATTTTATTAATTATACTGTATGGTTGTTTCACATAGTTGGTGTACAGTGTTTTTCTATGTGCTAATGTCGTTAGGGAACCTTTGACAATTTTCGTTGGTTTCCGTAAAAGTGTGAAATGCATGGCCATAAAGGTCTGTAGTAAACTTCAGACTGTCGAGTAGAGTAGAATTGACCTGAATAGGGTATTTCACTTTTTTCTCTGACATGCAGTCGGTATGGTGAAGCAGCCCAACAACGACTCCAACGAGTTCCACATTCACAATGAGGACTTCCCCGCGTTACCGGGCTCTCAAGGTGAGTGCACCGTGACTGGTTGATGATAACGAATCGGTTCACTTGGCTGTGAGCTGTTGATCCGGTCAATGACTAGCCAGAAAACTCGCTAAGTTTTGCCTCTTCCTGGAAAATGTCTTTCCTACGGGGGGGGGGCTTGCGAAGAGCGATAGTTAGAACCGGATTGAATAGGATTTAAATAGTGAAGATGCCAAATCAAGTGTAAATTTAATACTATTCGAATAGTTCGCAAATAGTAAAGTAACCATTTCCAAACAGTGTTTTCTATTGTGCATTTGCAAAATTTTATAGAAGGAACATCGCGATTATTCTCATCTGACAAAAAATACCACAATCTGGTGGCTTTTGTATTCCAGTTAACATGTACCAATAAGTTCAGCAACAAGTATTTGCTGATACATGCAGCTAGTTTAGACACACAGATTTCGGAACCAGTGCTATTGTATATCAAGAAATTTAAGTCGGAAAAATACGGAAGCTGCGTTTTCATGATTCTGTAACTTCATGCTGCTAACAGATTCTGCGGTTCTCGTCAAAACTACTAAGCGTAAGGATGTCGCTTTTTTAAAGCGGTTTGTTTTTTTAATCATTTTCCTGGTGTCACTGCACTGCAAGAGTATGGTTGCATTATATGAATTTCTCTTAATTTTTATTCTTTTTTTTTTTATCCCATGAAGGTCAGGAAAACAGTCAAGACAGCTTAAGTAAACAGGTGAGGTAAAAGGCACTGCTCCTGTTGTGTAATGGCACGCATGCTAGCACTCTGTTTTTATGCGTTTAATAGTGGATGTATAAGCACGTACAATATAAAACAACTGTTACGTTTGCGCATTCTTAGCATACTTATTCGAGTGACAAAATGTCGCTTTTCAGACGAGTAATGCCACCAGCGAGTCCTCGAAAGATGGCAGTGGTTTCTCTAGCGACAAGGTGACGTCACAGCCGGTCAAGAGAGGCATCCAGACATCAAAAGATGGTAAGCAGCCATTTTCTTGTACAGCCAAAGACCGAATAGTGGGGCAGTCTGAGAAGACTCATTCAAGTGCTCTTTTTTTTTCTCACTTCAGCAATGAAATCCCTGCAGCCACGTTTGAAATACAGTCGACTCTCATTAATTCAAACTTGAAGGGACCTCTGAATTAGGTTCGAATTATCAGAAGTTCTCAGATATATGACTGTGGGTGAGGTGACACCACACATTATGACTAGGCATTGATTTTATCACATTTAAAAAATTTTATAGTGTTTTTATGCCTTAACTGCATGCAATGAACTGAAAGCAGAGATGTAACGGCCACAAGTTTACGGCCATTTACTGCTAATCAGACCTTTTAAAGAAATTGTCAATTGGCAACTGCTTCTTTGCTATATGTGCCTTCAGCATAAAGCTCTCTATACTAGTTTAGAAGCATCACGGTCTACCATGCATGTGTTTCATTTCAAACAATCGTTTACTTGCAAAGCCTTTTTTCTTTTAAGTTGTCAGGTGCTTATTTCTCATTTTTAGACTTTTTGGATTATATGAGCTCACAAATTTTTAAATAGTAGTGGGGAAGCAGGAGATATTTTCTGGCATAGGAACCGCAAAAGGAATGAATTAACCAAATGATGGACTTTGAAATAAGAGGCTTTTAAATACATTGAAAGAATGAAGGGCCAACCCAAAAAATTGAATTTTGTTTGAATTAACCGAAAGTATTAATTATCAGAGTTTGAATTATTGCGAGTTTGTAGGTGTAGCTTTTGAGACCTGCCGATACTTTCATCAAGTTTTTTGGTGCTCGCACAGGCCCGCATTCAGTACCTGCAAGGAGTCCAGCCAGTCATTCCTATGGTCAGATACAACATAAGTTTGCAGCATTTTCTCCAGTATCCAGGTTTACGCTCCAGGTTTACGTCTTGAGCCATACTTCTAATTTTCTTCTTTCTTTTCCTTTTCTTGTTACTGTGTCCTCACCTTTCTTTCCTTCTTAAAATAAAACAGATATGTTCTGTATCCCTCTCAGTTGCAGTTCTAAGCCTCCCTATGTCATCTTTTGTTAGACTGAAAAGAAACGGTGCAAAATTAAAAAATTGTTTTATTTCCAAGTAGAAATAGCTCGACAATATAAGGATCACACATCTGAATTGAAGGTCAGTTAGGCTAGTCGTAGATCCATAGCATGAAGATGTTTCAAAATGAGACGACAGAGAATGTCAATAAAAAAGCATGTGTGTTGGGAAGATATAAAAATGTCTCCGGTAATACCTCATTAACTCGAAGTCATAAAAAACCAAGAAAAATTTCTAAATAAATGGATTTTTTAGATAAACAAAGTTGCGCTAATCGCCGGGAAAATTGAGCATTTTTTCAGAAAAACCACTGCTACTTACTGGCTCTTCAGCGGCAGTTTCTAACCTCTCTTCTCATGCAGGCTTAAAAAAGAAAAAAAAATAATATACAAGAGACTTTAACCGGCTGGCTTTCGCCCTGCATTTTATTTAGCAGAGAAAAACTGCCTAATGCTCACATGCTTTGCAGTCGTGCTCAGGCTAAGGAAGGCGGCTTCCAGCTGCTTGACGCATCGCATCAGTCGATGTTCCCCTCTGCTGCACTCGATCTTATTTGAAAGCGAGCGCAAGCAAATTTTTCATCTCGGAAGATGTCGACATCTTTCGAGATGGTTTGTCATTGCCGTCTTCTTCGGCGTCTGTCATTTCTTCGGTCACTGCCAAGTCCTCCTCACACAGCACGTACTCCAGAAAGGTCGCATCATTTTCGGTGGTACTGTTACCTGTAAGCTTGATGGCCTCTTGAAAAAGTTTCTCACAGTCTGTAAGGTCATCCGTCCACAGCACCTCTGCTTCTGGCAAACTGGCGGCACGTGCAAACGTAGCATGCGCAGAGGAGTTGGTGATAGCCGCAGCACGAATTTGCTGCCATGCGCTGCCGAGAAGGTGTGCTGCTCCCAGTAGGTCAATTTCATAGCCTTTGCTGTTTTCATGAGACAACAAAATTCTGTCGACAAGACTCTTTCGGTAGAAGGCTCTTTCGACTCTTTTGGCGTATGCCATGCTTGCTGCACTCACGCTAAGTTGCTGCTCCTCACAGTCAGCGAAAAATTCGTATCGTGTGGTTTGCGCAGACACATGGAAATTATACTTCGGGAAATGTCATGTGCACTGCATAAAGTGAACGAGACAAACTATGCCAAGTGTGAGCAGAGGGCCTCCCTACACAGCGCATGTGTCACATGACGTGCCACAGGGCTGCTTGACAAAGTTGATATGTCGCCGGGCTGAGACTACGCACACTTCACATTCGCGGAAAGCATCAACATAGTGGCAGAGGCGGCTAAATAAGAAAAAAAAAATTGACGTACTTCAGGCGGGGCAGCATTGCACGAATCTTGTGAAATGGTCCGGCGGTAGAATTTTCATTTCACTCTTAGTAAAGATTTCGAGTTATTTCCAATCTGACCCAAAGATACTTCGAGATAACGGTGAAAACATACACGGGACGTATTGGAAAATGTTAGGTGCTGCGAAAAATTTCGACTAAGCCGGGGGTTTTTTTTGTGATATATGAGCTCGAGTTAACGAGTTATTACTGTATGCACATCGTGGGAGACAGCTGTGTCCAGTCATTGCCAGTCCAAGTTGGCCATGCCCGCCATGCACACCAAATGGGAACTTTGTCGTCTTTTCCTTTTCTCTACTACAGCGTTTCTCTTCTAACCATCCCCATCACATGTAAAATGTATATAATTTAGTCAAATTGTACTCACATGCATGGAAAACGCAAATGTAAAGGTGCACATCTCACAAATATTTAATGAGACCAAAATTTATAGCAGGGGCACAGCTGACAACCTTTTGCTTTTAACGACTGGTCCCAAATGCCAGCCTTCTTTGTCTCTGCTATGTGCATGTGTTAACATTGAATAGTGATACATAATGTGTGCTTCTCACAGGGACGGTAACGAACATCCCTGCGGGCATGGTCACGGACCAGTACGGCATGGTGGGGCTCTTGACATTCATCAGAGCGGCTGAGACGGATCCCAACCTCGTCTCACTGGCCTTGGGGAGCGACCTCACGACGTTAGGGCTCAACCTCAACTCTCCCGAGTACGTCTCCGTTCGGCTTTCGTCATTTCCATTTGGGCTTTCTAGTACTGCGTGTGTGGGTGTGGTGCTCGATTAACTTGAATGTGCGCCTCACACGCGGCTTTATCATTCAAGGATCTACCGTATTTACTCGATTCTACCGCACCCTCGATTGTAACGCGCACCCGGTTTCCACGACGAAAAAAAAAAGAAAAGTAAGACATCGATTGCAACGCACACCCATTTTTCTCGTTGGCCCGCACGATCACACCACTCGGGAAAACGACTCCTTTCGGGAGCGTCTTCCGTTTAAATATGAGGTATGGGGGAAGCTTGTGCCTATCTGATGTGCAACAGAGCATTGCCATCACTCTAGTTTTACCATGGCCGATGTCAGCACGCGAACTTGCTTCGCCCCCTTCTTTTCGACGTTTGTGGTGCCAGGCATGTTGAAGTAAAGAGGCGTCTGATCGGCATTCCCGATTTGCCCAAGCAGGTAGCCGTTGTTGTGCTGCAAGTTTAGAACGAACCTCTGAAAACTGGGAAGCTTTTCATCGTACTCCTCCGGAAACTTTTCGCATATGCCCATTCGCCTTCGGAGGGAAAAGCCTTTCCTCTTTATAAAGTTAGTTAGCCAGCACCTGCTCACTTTAAACTGGCTCCGCATTAGCCTTTTTTCTAAGGCTAACTGCATAGCCTGCACTTGGAGCAGTTCTGTCGTCACGGGCCGCTGTGCCGCTCACTGCTCAATCACATACTCGCCTAGCAGCTCTTCAATTTGCGGAAACCGACCCTGCTGTGGTCCAGTGAAGCCTTTGCGTGAATCTTTGCTGTCGACAATCTTCTGCTTTTGATTCCGCCGGTCCCGCACGCACGTTTCGGGAACTCCGAACGACCGCGATGCGGCCCGATTTCCATCCGTTTCGGCACACGCAATGACTTTTCTTTTAAAAGCGGCATCGTGGTGCACTCGTCGAGTTTTTCGAGTCGGCCCTTCCATGCCGTCGATGCTAGTGCAGCACAAGATGACAAACTCCTCAGCACACGTACGAAGTGCCGCACGTGGGAAACACATAGGCGGAAATGGCCGACGTGCCATGCAGACGCACGTAGGGGGCGGCCATTTTGGAAATGTCGATGGCAATAAAATGACCGTATTCATTTTTTTTTTTCGTACTCGATTCTAACGCGCATGCGATTTATGAACTCGCTTAACCGGAAAAAAGGTGCGCGTTAGATTCGAGTAAATACGGTACTGTGGAATGGGGACGCTTTAGCAAGTTGACTTTATTACTCCACCATATATGGTGCAGTTAAGTTCCATGTTTGCATAGTGCAATCTTGAAAACATATGAGTGGCAGGAGTTGCTGTTGAAATGTACTGCAATATTGATGATAGGGACTAATTTGAGTTTTTCAGAGTAATATAGCTATGTACCAGTCAGGAAATAATCGTTTTGCTGAGTGGACTTGATGGTAAACGAAGGTGGTAAGCCAACTCATTCGCAATTACGTTACTGCCAAAAATTTGCACGGACTATGAAGTAGAACGCACTTATTTACATTATGTGCTTGCTTTGTTATGGACTCCATCGCCAGATAATAGTGAAGAGCTTGTTGCGTAGAATTACGGTGTAGGCATCGCTAGTTGTGAGCAAAAAATCAGCATTGTCTGTGAGTGAAAAATCAAGAACGGTACAAATAAAATAGGTAATAAGAGCCTTGGTTCGAGTCAGAATCAAATCCAGTCTTTACCCGCCAGGGTGGTTTAGTTACTAAGGCACTTAGCTGCTGACCTGCAAGATCGAATTTCAGCCTGTGCATGTTAAAGAAGCTCAGGTGATCCAAATTTTCGGAACTCTCCAATATGGCGTCTCTCATACTCATATGGTGGTTTTGGGATGTTAGACACCAATGATTATTATCATCATCATCATCTACCGTGGTGAGTTCTTACAGAATAATTTATCAGTCTGAATTGATCATTGTTTTTCTTCAATGTTCATTTAAGAATTGGACATTAGTGAACGCGTTTTGGTGTTGAACACAATGTGGCCACATGATGCTCTACTGTATTTAAGGAGACTCCACAAAGTGCTGTAATATTGAGTCGCCGTCTTAGCAGTTCTCCTACGAATGCAGTACATTTGGATTGGTTAACTTAAAAGAACTGTTTTTCTGATTTTCTGCCTAGAAACCTTTATCCTGTGTTCGGAGGTCCCTGGGCAGAACAGCCTTGCAGGCCGCAGGACATCGGTGAGGGAGAAACTTCAGTGCTTACTGTGTGTATGTGTGTGTGCATGTGCATATGTGTGTTTGTGAGGTTGCTCTTGATTCCCAGGATGAACATGAAGGGGTTTTAAAAATCCTGTTCACTTTGCTGGACATTCAGCGGGACTTATGCTCAGCCGCCTCTGAAATAATTCGGAAGGCAGTGAGAGAAGTCGGGCAGGTACACGATGCCAGGAGCTTAATGTTTTGTGCGCTTTTTGACCTGATTATGCACATTGTTCGCACTAGTTAAACTTGTCCGAGTACTGTGATAACTGGGGCATGCTTGCCACCTCTGCCACCTTTTAGTGACCGTGCTGGAACCAGCTATGTTTAAATTCATGCATAAGGCAAACTTGGAATGGATACTGTACAGCAATGGTGCCTCTTGGGTTTTCTTTTTTTGTCTTTTTTTTATTTAATAATGCTTTGTTCAATAAAATAAGTTGCTCCACTGCAAGAACATGGTTCTGCTGGTGCAGCTTTGTCACTTTTGGGACTAATTTAACAAAAATGCCTGCAACATACAGAAAGTCAGTTTTGCCACAAGGCCATAGCATTAAATGCAATAGCAACAAATTGGAATATCGCAGTAAGATTGGCAAGCAGCTTGAAACTTGCTGTACGCTACTCAAACACATAGGACATGCAGGAAGAATGCACACAGAATAATGGGGGACCAACGACTGAAACAGCTTGACACTTGCGGCACGCAGCCCAAGCACAACAAGTGCTCATGAAAAGAGTGAACAAGTCTATGCAGGATGAGCCCACACTAAGTGTCGTGGTTGTTACTTGGTGTTTGAGCGGTGAACTGCAAGCGTTGACACTGCGCTACCACGTAGGCCCTACTTTGGCTCTTCTTGCCAGCAGCTCACTCTTTTCGCAAACGCAGCCGCCGCAGCTAGCGAAGTGACCTTCGTGCGCTCTGTTGCTTTCATGGAAACTTTGTGGTGAAAGCACAAGGCATGCAAACCTCTCCTCCCATGTCTACACAAGCACGCAAGCATGGGTGACCTCTTCTTGTAGGGCGAAGACAGGTTAGACGTGCGCACCTCAACTCTTGCAAAACAAAACTTGGCGACGGCCTTTAAAGCGCACCCGTCACACCATCTCGCGTGTGATAGCGAACATGCTTAAGCACCTCTAGGCTATAGCTCATCATTAGTATGGGAAAAAATGTATGCTTTGGGCAGAGTTGTGGCATGGTGTGCTGCAGAGCGAGGTGTTGCAGGTGCCCCAGTCTCTCGCTGCAAAAACATTTCTTCTGAATTATGTTTTTTTGTGACCTTTATTTATATACACTTAAAACTCATTGTAACAAAGTCACACCTGCCACGACAATACTTCTTTATATTCTAAAATTTGTTGCAGATATATATTTGCAGCACTGTATCTATGACAGAACCATTCCTCACTCACTTTTTTATAACCAATAGTTCGTTATGTCAAGGTTTGTTATATCGAGGTTTTGGTGTATGTGTAAATATAATGCAGAACATGATGCAGTGTGGGCGGCAAAAACCTGCCGAGACTGCATAAAATTGAACAAAATACACGGAACTAAACAGTGGGAGAATTCAAATAAGTTTTCAACTTCGAAGTATTGTTAAATATTGAAATTCAGCTTTGAATTATAACAAATGTTTTTAAAATATTGGCGACTATGAACAGCACTGGCTTTTGCAAGGGAAAAAATGAAACATTTTCACCAACCTGGTATCAGAACAAATACAGTTTCGCAACAAGGCTGAAGCAATAAATGCAATAGCAACACATCGGACTGTTATACAAAGTAAGGCTAGGGCACTTAGGAACTATACGAAATATAGCAAACGCAGTCGAATGTGTGTTGAGGTGCACCGTTTCCCGCGCGTGCAGCAGCATATTCTTCCTGCGTCTGGGCACGTATGCAAGCCCACCTTGCTTCAGCATGACTAGCATTCCGTTCCAGCTGTTCCGCAGGTGTTCGTATTATAGGTGTATATACTGAGGGCCTTTAGTGAGATGGATAGCATGAGCAGCGCGACCATATATACTTGTGTGAGGGCCGCACCCCAACTTTGAAAGTGGAAATTTCGAAAAAAAAAATACAATAAAGTTCGAAAAGTTCCGCCAGAAAAGTGTAGTTAGTTCATTTACAGCCAGATGGGGCTGCAAGCTTTTCTGCTTTAATTCTACTTCTGCCGACCACGCAGTTACAGTGGCTAACGCAGTTGAGAGCACGCCGCCATATTTGCCTTGTGCGGCCTCTTTGTTGGCATCGTTCCTGGCAGCATGACTTCATATCGGTGTCACTTTGTTGGTAGTAGTGAGCCCTGCAGAAGCCAATGCAAGTAACTGACAATGGGCCAGAATCTGAGATCATTCACTGCAGCATTTAAACTGCAAGTGATTGACTATGCCGAGGAGCATGGAAAGCGAGAAGCTGGACGGAAGTACGACGACGATGAGAAGCGCGTGCGTTACTGGGTGAAGCAAAAAGATGCCCTCGCCGCTACTAACAGGAACCCAAAGGCGTTTCGCGAGAAAAAGTGCAAGTACCCACAACTGAAAAGCGAGCTTCTCAACAACGTCGTCGACACACGAAGGGACGGCTACGCCGAATCGACCGACATGATACACGTCAAAGCCCTCAACATCGCTCGCCACATGGAAATACCCCAGGCACAATTCAAGTCAGGTCGGAGCTGGACTACGCAGTTTATGAACCGTAACCTGCTTTCTACTCGGCGCCGAACAATGATTTGCCACAAACTGCCACGCGATTACGAAGACCATGTTATAAAGTTTCATCGCTTCGTGAATGCTCTCGGGTGGGAGCATGAATTCTACCTGTCCCAAATTGGGAATGCGGACCAGACACCTGTGTGGTTCGATGCACCGGAAAGCACCACAGTAGATTTGAAAAGTGCGAAAAGTGTGTCTGTGTGCACGGCCGGTGCAGAACGTCAAAGGTGCACTGTGATGTTGTGCATCACGGCAGACGGCAGAAAGCTTCCGCCGTACGTCGCGACTCTCCCAAAAGAAATGTTCCCTCAGGGAATCGTACGTGCTCAATAGAAGGGCTGGATGGCCGATGAACTGGTTGTTAAGTGGATTAGGACCGTCTGGGCAAACAGACCTGGAGGGCTGTTACAACGGAAAGCCCTCCTTCTATTGGAGATTTTCAGGGGCCACTTGACCGACCGCGTCAAGAACCGACTTGCCACAACTCGTACGGACTTGGCCATTACTCCCGGAGGCCTGACGAGTGTGCTGCAGCTGCTCGGCGTATGCGTTAACCGTCCACTCAAAGTAGAATTGCGCCGATGTTACTCTGAATGCATGGCTGGAGGCATCCATGAGAAGACCCTACAGGACGGCTGAAGCGGGCGTCGCTCCAACAGGTGTGTGAATGGATGTTGAATGCGTGGCGTGTCATGTAAGTAGAAGTAGTTGCGAAAAGCTTCAAGATAACAGGAATTTCTAACTGCATGAACGGCACCGAAGATGACCGTCTCTGGGAAGGACACGGACGCCGAGGCAAGCTCCTCCGAGAACGAGGACAGCGACAGCGAAATGGAATCTGAATAAAAACATTCCCGGCATGTAATTTGTGACTCTCTTGCACTCTGCTACTGTTGCATAAACAGTACAGGCATTTGGTGAGCTGTCATCGGCCTGATTCGTGTAAGGGCCGCATTTAGCGAAATTTTCGAGAAAAAAAAAAAAGTGCGGCCCTTACACGAGTATATACGGTAATGCAGCGCATTCAGGAGCGAGGTGTCCCTAGCTCCGGTGGGGTGCCATAGGATTTTTTTTCTTTGGGCCTTTTATATTCATATATATACTTGCATAAACATATCTGGGACATGATATCTATGGCAATGGCGGCGGCAAAAATAAGCCTAAAGTGTCCATATGATTGCTATCAAAATAAAAGTTAAGCTCGTTGTGCAGCAAATAAAACACAAGTTGTGCACCTTTATAAGAGACACGCGTCGGGTAGCAATTCCTGTCTTTTATATGAGATGTCTCTTATAAGCAAGGTACCACGTATTTTTCTTACCTGCATGCATAATGTTGTCATTGCTACTCTACATTACGACATATGCTGTTATTTAATGTTGTTGCGATGGACGGATACCTGATAGACATGTCTTCGGGGCATTGACAGCATTGGGCATGTCATTATTCCTCTCTAAGTCTAGCTTTGTACACTTTTCTTATTTGTGATGGAGTATGTCACTTGAGTTTGCCTGGATACAGTATTTAGTGCTATAATTACCTCGTGTGAGATATGTTCTTACAAAGTCTCAAGTTGAGCTAGCCTGTCGGTCTGTATTCATTTGATAAAGTTGACCTCACATGACATGCACAATTCGTGCTTTATAAGTTCACATTTTCTTCCAGTGAACTTTCACTTGTGAGTGCAGCGTAGTCAATCCATGCTCTCTTTTTCTTCTGTATTTTTGTGTGCTGTTTTTCTACAGAGAATGTGTGAGTTGTGTTAGATACAGTTGTTAATACTGCCCATCTATTTCCATCCTCCCTTGGCACAGACTACCACGTTCCTTCAGAGTACATCATCAACCAGAGCATCCGGGACAAACTAGCGGGCATCAAGCTGAATCGATATGGCGAAGACTTGCTTTTCTTCATATTCTACATGTTTGGGGGCGACCTGTTACAGCTGCTTTCTGCTGCCGAGCTGTAAGTGTGTTGTTTTGTTCACTCTTGGCGAAATCCGCCTGCGTGATTTTGTAGGCTCGTAATTTTGTGGCCATGTAGCTATGTTAACATAGAAGTGTATAATTGTCATGTTGATCCCTTAAGATGTTGATCCCTTAAGGGTTTTGATATTTTCAGGAGTCCTCGTGTTAAAATGTGCTTTTTTAAACGTTATTGAATATTTCAGTTCTACCAAGCAAGTTTTTTCTGTTTAAAAATATTTTAAGCATATACAAAGTCGAGTTAGCTTAATGAAGTTTATAGTAGACTCGTGTTAAATTAAACCTTAAGGGACCAGGAAAATGTGTTTCATATAACGGGAGTTTGTTTGCTCAGAGATAAACGAGGGTGCAGAATTCAAGTACAAAATCAGTCCTATTAAGCAATTGCTCCACTTAAGCAGATGTTTTATTTAAGAGAGTCTCGTCTTCTGTATTGTTAATTCCTCATGAGAAGGCTAGGTTAACAGCTAATTATTAACAATAAAAACAAAGCAAGAAGAAGAGTGCTGTTAAAAGTTTTCAGCACTCCGGGAATGCCTTCAACAATCTGACAATTTTAATCATCTTAGTCTTTACGTGAAGCGGATGGGCTACATTTGTCCAAAACGATTCAGGAAGAGATATCCAAGATTAAGCTGTGCTCATTCAAAACACAGAAGTTAATAAACCTTGATGTATAAAAAAAAAACTGCATAGATTTAATCATACATATCCTCAGAACCAGTTTAGAACATATTGCATCGTGTCCACTATGTAATGCAGTGCATTATCGCTAAGGAATCATGTGATTCTGAATGCATTAAGGCAGTGAGAAAGCCTCTAAAGTAGGAATACCTGCACAACTTATGGTGAATAATATTGAATTTCTGCATCCATATAAATTTGTATTTTGTTGAATACAGATTATATTGCAAAAGCCGCAAAGTGGTATAAAGCCAGGGCAAAGTCTCTTCAAACATTTATTAACCGCAGTTACCCTATTGTATCTGCAATTCTTGCTAATATAGCGCTGAACTTCTTCTAGTATCGCGTAGGACACTTCTGGAAGTAGCAACAGTAACTGGGAATTGGCACTGGGCTTCAATGCCAAGGCGGCACTCGTTTCAATTCTACCCCACGGTAGAACTACATAGTGCTGGCTCTTAGCACATTTACGAATTGCACGTTTTCCTAAAGGATCACAAACATCATGTGCGTGCGACATTCTGTACGAATACGACAGGTACAACCGGGACTGGCGTTTCCACAAGGACGAGCGGGTCTGGATCACGCGAGCGGGCATCTCACCAACGGAAAAGACGTCGACGTACGAGCGTGGGACATACTTTTTCTTCGACCCAGTCAACTGGCGGAAGGTCGCCAAGGAGTTCCACCTCGACTACGACCGGCTCGAAGACCGGCCACAGCAGTATCCGCCCCTCTGATCAGCCGAGTGCACCGCCTTCAGTCACGTCACCCACGGTGGCAGCCCGTAACGCTCCTGGCTGACCGCGCAAATCGAGAAGGCAGAAGCCACCGAGAAAGACGGGCCCAACGACGTTGCACGCGGCAGTGAGACAGCGAATGAAAGAACACTGACGCATCGTGTGACTTGTCAGTTTTAGGAAATGAGAAGAAAACGTGCGAAGTTTGTAGACATCGTTGTCAGACGGCAAGAAGCAGCCCTTGTTTTCTACAGGTCATCTGTGCAAACGGTTCTCTTGATGGCCCGACTCGGAGCATTCGCGTCGTCCTGATAGTGCCCAGAAGTCAACCATAAGAACACTGCAGCGCTGGATGGTCTACGGAGAATAGAACATCCAACTGGACCGCACGGGGACGGAAGGGTCGCCCTGATCCCCCCTCTATCTCCTCTCCTCGCAGACACGGCAGGGTCAGTCGTGCTACGAGCACGGCGCATCGTTGACTCTTGATAAATGAGAGTGCGTCGCAATGGATTTCTCGTTATGTGTAGAATGAACGGCAACGTCTTGGTTTTTCATTAAGTTTGTGGGCTTTTCTGTCAGCAGCTTCTCTCATTTGCCTGTAAAAAAAAACACATTCCTTCACTCCATTAGCGCTGAGAAAAATGACTGCTTTTTGTTTGCTGGGCCGAACACTCGTGTGTGCAGTGCCGCTGTTTGCGAATGTCTTGTGTTGTTGTTTGTCAAATGAAAGCATTGTTTCAGGGCAGCTGTGCTGCTCGGAATGAGATTCTCGTTCATCTTGATTACACAATAGACCAATCGTGAAGGGTTTCAAGTTTGACCATAACGCGAATTTCTGCAGTTGGTTTTTAATCTATGTCTCACAAAACTATCAATTTTAGCCACATATTAGATCTTGTACACTGTGATTAATGCATAACCATCCATCATTACTGAACAACTTACATCTGGCCTGCAGTGTTAGCGGTTGTCCATACTGTCAACATTATTCAAAGTTTGAATGCCTAGAGCCTTCTTCAATCGAGAAGCACCAGAGCACACCTTGAAGGTACTGGCAGTTGTGCCATTTTCAGATCATCATCGTCCAAATGCCGGTGTTATGGCTGATAGGAAATGTCGAGAAAGCAAAAAAGTAAATGAAAGAGTTCCAAAATATACTGCCCTGCAAGCTTTCTAATTAACAACACTCACTGCCATGAGGATATGGAAACGAATGCTTGTCATCACCACCACGATTTGGAAAGTTCCTAGCACATTTTTATTTTTGTCCGTTTTTCTTTTTGCTTATGCTGCTGTTGTTTTTGAAACTGAAGCTCTCATGGAGTTTGCACATGCACGAAGAATATTAACTCTGCCGCCCGCAAATTGCACACACAAACACGAAAATGTGATTTCGAGAGGGAGAATTCTCTTGTCCTGCCTGATCCTGGAGACCGGGGGGAAGGGAAGATAGGGGGACGCGCGAGGTCTGGGCTTCAGTACGCCCCCCAGGAGGGGCACCCGGGATCCCGCACACACGAGGGTTGGGTGTTTTGTTTTAGAACGCTGGATTACTTGAGAGAAACGGGACGGCACAAGGACCGAGTGAACAGCTGCTTGTGACTTGGCTCTCTGCTCCCCCATTCATGGCATCTTTGGGACATTGCCTATAACTAGCCAGTGTTTCTTTAAATCTGATGTAAGGATTATTTCTGTTTTTCGTTAATAGCTTCCTGTGGTGAATTACTGTTTTATTAGACAAGGTCAGTGTTTCTTTTGAAACATTACTTTTTAACAGCTTTTTTCTTACACAAGAGAAGTGTTCTGTTATAAAAATTGTAAAAATGGGACACTTGTCTTTTACTCTTTTTAAATGTACTTATAGATAACTTAGATACTTTCTTTGTTTTTTTTTATTTGATTGTTCTTTTTTGCTGCACCTTGTTTGCATACAGAGCGGGTGTTCCAAGCACAGCAGAGATTCTTTTGACACATTCGAAAAGAGTTCTTTATGAAGACATTCAACAAATTGTGCGAGCTGGTTTTTCAAGCGACTTGTCACAAAAGGTCTTAGATATTGTGGTTTTTTGTTGTAAAGCTAACAGTTGTTGTTTTGCTTTCCCCAATTGTACATGTGTAATGTTTACATCTCGCGTCAGTTTTTCTCTTTCCTTTTTAATATCGTCATTTTGTGCGTTATGAAAGTGATATTCATTTGAGCCAGTGCAAGGCCATCCTTGTTAGCAATTCTAGTGAGATGATTGTGACATGACTTGCGTAGGATTGCAGCGACTATTAAATGTGTCGTTACGCAGGTGTTCTTGAGAGGCTGTCTATGCAACGAGAGACCCGTTCACTGTTCATGCCAAAAAGAAATATACACAAAGGTGGTGTTGTACAGTGGGGAAAAGGGGGTGTTTGTGTGTGTTTGGCCACGGTGTGGCCAGGAGTCATTACGGCACCAGCCAACCTAGCGGTGAGGAAAACGACGGTGCTCCTAATGTTGAAAGGTAGCTCATGGGACAAAAACTCAATGTACATAAGCCTTCCTTAATTATTTTCAAAGTGTACAAAGGAGCGGCCTTGATACATAGTTGCTTGTCAATAAAAGCGATCTCTAAAGCGGTAACCTCTTGTCGGTTTCATTTCTTGCACGTCCTGCAGTCTTGGGTGCGGGAGCGTTAAGAATATTAACAGATTTCTGAACAAGCGTTGCCTTACAGGTTTTGGCAATGGTTTGTTATTCATGTGTTACAAATCAGTAATATTTAGGTAACTTGGATAACTTATTACTATTTTTTTTATTTAACTCGCTTACAGCTCGAACGAGGTTTACATAGCACTAGCAACATCACTCCATTACAGTATGTTGTTTCGGACATGCTCGTGGAACAGCAAACACAGAACACACTTTAACGCAACAAGCACATAGACATTAGTGCCTTTTGCACAACAGCAAGCCGGCTGGCCAGATCATATGCATAACTAAAGTAATACGTCAAATATCACTGGAATGCGATTGTAACACGCAATGTATCCCAGGTGCGGAATCAGCGACGCTTCACTTCCACAGCAGTCTGTGGGGGATGAGCCACGATCTTCGCAGGGACGTTCTCATGAGCATAAGTGTGAACAGTGTTCCTTCACATTTCACAATGATGGGACAGGTTCAACAAAGTAAATGGTATGTGCACACCTGGCAACCCCCTTAGAGGATCAGAGGGACAGCAACCACACGCCTATGCCCATGAGAGACAACCGTCGACGAGACGCACCAAGCTCCAAAAAAGCAACAGCTCTGCTCTTTATAAGTCGGCCTAACAACGAGGGGGCGCCACTGCCGTAATCCAGCGCCATCTCCCGCATGGTGGGGACTACGCTAACTACGCCGGTTTCTGCCTGCCCCTGAGGTGAAGCCAGCCCGCAGGACGAGAAGGCACCATAAGGCGAGAACAAATTAAAGGACATGCGAACACCCCCCAGGCTACTATAGTGCATGTGTGCATTTTACAAATGGCCAGTGACAAATTATCAACACAAAGAAAGTGGAAGAAACAAACAAGTGGTTGTGCTTATATATACAATATACAGAAACACACGAGACGTACGACTGACTTTTATTCAGTGGTGCAACAATCTAACCCTAATTAATAGTAGTACACCTAATGAGATGCGCCATCCAAATGTCAAAAGTGCGTCTAAAAAAACTCAGTAAGTCAGCAGCGATAACTTCTGAACAGCATAGGCATATGCTATGATACACAGTCGCACGCTTCAAGGCTGGCAATGCAGTGAAGACGGAGAAATGTGCATTCTTGCCGTTGACATACGTTGGGAGTAGTGTGTTGTGCGAGTTGTGTGTAGTTAAGCAAGATGTACGTGGTCTCAAAAGTCTCTGCTTAAATTGCACTCTCATGATATCGTGTCAGCTACATCGATCCGCACTGCTCACGCGCTGTCTATTCGTCACTCTACGCGTACCACCGACGCTTCGACGCCATGTACGACACTAGCAAACTCTGTCATGTCGTACAAGGGCCTGTGGCACTTCTCTCGGCTGCTGAGCGCAGTCCTGTTCCATGAGTCACATGCGGCGAGACAGAACCTCCAGAAGAAATCCTGCTGTACGGACTTCCAGGCGGCGTTTCTGCCTGGAAGCGTGAAGTAGTCTTTCTGAAGGGCCGCGTAAGCTATGCGCGCACTCGTGAGCCACAAGAACTGTTGAAGCTCGAACCCTGGTAACTTTCTCACTGCATCGAATGACGTGTAGCAGCTCATGTAAGACGCTTAACTGCGCACAGCTTCTGGACTCCAGAGGTGGTTGACGTCGCCTGCCCTGTCTGGCTACAGGGGACGACAGTATTGCCCAGTTCCCGAGCTATTATTGCTCCTGAGCAGTCTCGTAGTTAAAAAGTCGCCAAGAGTTGTTTCCTCTCACGGTGTAAAAGACGTGGCGTGTCTGCAACACTGTGGGGATGAAGAGGGAGTCGTGTTCGGCCACGTAGGAAGTTCTGGTCTTGAACTCCAGCATCGATGAGAGGTCCCAGGCGAAGTCTGGTGGAGAGAACTGCGACCCGCGCCTGAACCTGGGCTCGCACGTTGATGTAGTCCACAAGGAAACTGGCGCCAGACGTCACCAGCTGCGAAGTGTGGAACACTGCTGACGTCATTACTGACGAACTTAGTGCCAGTGACGAGCGCAATGGGGTCCAGAGACCCTCGCAGTCTCTCCAGCGTCTGATCGTTCTCCAGGTAATTGCTCTCGTTTTAGAAAACCTTCTTGACTGCTTGGAAGAGCGCTGCTACTGAGTCTGGCTGTCCATTGGAGGAAGAGGTAGTTGCCTCCTGCGATTATCAGGTGCCTCGACATCATAGTCCATACCGGAGAAAGGGTGGCGTTTATGGATAGAAAGCAGTTTCGAAGGGCTGTCGTCTCGTCGGTCCTGCGATCCCTATATCGAATCTCTTGACGTAGTCGAACTGCAGAAGGTCCGTCAGGATTTGCACTGCCACGTACTAAAACGTCTCGAGTGCCGAGTTGTGCTGGAAGATGCTGAGCAGTCTCACCACGTGGCTGTAGTCCCGGGCGATGAGGAATACGCTGCTGAGGTTGCATCTGCGTGCGAGCCGCTCCATAGAACCGGAAACGATGGCGACGATGACCGGCGGCTCCATGTGCAGCTTTCTGTAGCAACTTTCCGGTAAGGCGACTCCCTTCTGTGGTACGACGTGTAGACGCAATTGTCCAGGAACACGACGCCCGCTGAGAGGTCCTCGGCAAATTTGCTTTGATGGGCCCTGGAAATGACATGTATGAGTCTCCCGACGTAATTATGCAGCATGGCTTTCATGGAAAAAGCGGTCAGCAACGGAATTCCTCGCAGTGCATACAGTGCCGCGGTCGCCTCGACCCTCTGTGGCCTGAGCCTGACGAGTCCGTTCAGGCTGTATCTGAAGGACACCTCCGCTTCCGGCGGTCATGGCAGCGAGCGAGGACGTGGCGCTCAGAACCTGCACCAGGCGCGAACTTCCTGGAAGAGGAGCGGCACTTCGTGGTCCAGGTACAGCTGCCCTGAGGTCACGTATGCTAGACACTCAGATAGCAGCGTGAGTCCGCGATGTGCGTCCGTGATGTATGTAATTGTAGGTAGTCACCTCTCGTTTAGGCCTTGGAATGTCCGCTGGATGGCGGTACTTCTCTATGATTAATATACATTGGCCCCTTTGCGCATCGAGTTCTTACACAACTCTCGTCCTGACGCTCAGAGGGCGAATGGAAACAGCTGATATGAATACCCGGCCACTGCAGAGTTAGAGGCAATGAGCTCGCCCATGCCTCGGCCCGAGAATTACTCTTCCGGACCTCCGACCCCGGCATATCGCACCCACTCTCGACTATGCGTATGGACCCGCTCCTAACTATGGACATATATTCTAGAACATCAAAGACTCGAAAGACGGAAACTTCCACCCCCCGGGCCAAAGCTCAGTAAAGTATCTCAGGTAGTGTGACGTCACCTGCAGACCTTGTCTTACCCCAATCTATGCATACTGTCTAAGATAGATCCGACACATACGCACCACAGTGCAGGTTCTGCGTCACTAAAACAGCCACCCTGTACCACATGCATGGTATGGGAATGCCCACACAATCCACCTCTACAACCCAGAGCACAACATAACACTGTAGGGTGGGAGGCAGCTCTGTCCAGCTCGGATCCGAAGACCCAAGAGGCCCTCGTGAGACGAGCGAGGACAGCGGCCCGTGCCGATGGGATCCCGGACTAAGGAGCCCACTAACCGACATTCCTTCCTCGGTCGCAAATAAATGTTTTATTCTCTCTATATATATGATGAAAAGATGCGGATGGATGGATGGACGAACACACAGACAAGCAGACGGGCGGATGGAAGCACGTGTGGACGGACAGACGCATGTACAGACGGACGGATGCATGGACGAACGCAGGGGTGGACGCTGGGACGGATGGATCGACTGACGCACGACCGCGCGTACGGACGCATGGGCGGACGCAAGCGCGGACGGAATTACGGACGCTTCGCCCCACTCATCATAATTCGGTCCGTGAATATGCTGTGATTTTTTTTCTTTTTCGCTGCTTGCCTGGATAACGTCTGCTGCTCCCAATGGCTGGATCCGTGCGCTCGCCGGTTTGATGAGAAAGGGCAGAGAAGAAGAAATAGGGGGACTAACCTGCCTCCGTTTCGCGTGCGTTCGTAATCTCGCGCATCGTGCAGACGCTGTGTTCGAGCGCTCATAAAGCTAATTTATCTTCCCGTGGGAGGCGGAGACGTCACAGTTGGCACTGTGCCAGGGAGCTTCGACGGCGGTGTGTGAGCCTAAGGAACTTAGCTCCTAAAAAGTCCAGGGAGCTTTGCTTGACGGACGCTGATGAAACAGTGAATCTGGTGGCGCGCAGTGCGGTTGAATGAAGTAAGAGGAGCGGGGGAGCCGTAGTGGGTGTAGTGACGAGTTCTGGAAACAGTGTGTAGTGGCGCAGTGGATGTCCTTATGTAGGATTCACGCGTTTTCTTTGGATAATTGGTCCCACTACAGTCTACACGGCATGAAAGGTTCAATCAAGAACAGATTCACTGTTAATAAAAAAAACGTGTTGATTCGTGGGCTTCGTTACGCTCCGCGCGCTGAAACACTCGGCGTGACCCACTTCGGCGGATAAGCCACAAATCGGATGGTGCCTTGCTTAGGAAATTAATTCGACTGTGCACCCGCCTGCGAATCCCCGCGTAGTAGGTATGAGCCATCGATGAGGAAAAACCTAAGGTGCCTGCGAAAAGTGGTACCAAAAGTGATGCAAGGAGATCAGCCTGTCTTCACGCAGCCCTTGTCTACGCTTCCGTCAGCTCCTGGGCTGCCTGCACCTTGCGACGACGAGGACAAACACCCCAGAAGTGGCACTGGCCGCGGAGTGAAAGTGACAGCCCGGGCCGTTGCGACCAACGAAAGAGGTGGGACGTATAACGAAAAAAAAAAAAGATGTACGATTCCACCTAGCCATCTATCTTATGTTGAATTCCAATGGCGGGCGGAGTCGGAGCAAGTTTTTGTGCTCCTTGCAGAGCAAGTGTGTTCCAATGACAGAGTGA